AGAAGGGAGAAGCTGGTGGAGGAGGAGGGGGAGAAGGGAGAAGCTGGTGGAGGAGGAGGAGGAGAAAGGAGAAGCTGGTGGAGAAGGAGGGGGAGAAGGGAGAAGCTGGTGGAGAAGGAGGAGGGGGAGAAGGGAGAAGCTGGTGAAGGAGGAGGGGAGAAGGGAGAAGCTGGTGGAGAAGGAGGAGGGGGAGAAGGGAGAAGCTGGTGGAGGAGGAAGGGGAGAAGGGAGAAGCTGGTGGAGGAGGAAGACATGCGCAGGAGTGGGTGAATAAAAAATGATGTCTTGGCGGATTCCACTGGCACTGTTTAGTATTTTACTAGGGTTAATGCGTTGGTAAAGTCTACAACGACGATGACGTCGACAACGAAAAACGTACATGACGGCGACAAATGCAAGAACGTTAAGTCGCGGCTGCGAAAAACGTGACGGCGCCGATTGTGCTCGCTCGCCGCCGTGTTTTCGCTCGCTCGCGGTGCGAAAAGGTGACCGCGCCGATTCTGCTCGCTCGCCGCCGCCATGTTTTCGTTCGCTCGCGGTGCGAAAAGGTGACCGCGCCGGCTACGCAAAAGGCGACCGCGCCGATTCTGCTCGCTTGCCGCCGCCGCCTACAAAAGAACGTGACGTCGCCGGCTGCGAAAAACGTGACGGCGCCGGCTACGCAAAGGGCGACCGCGCCGGCTGCGAAAAAGGCGACCGCGCCGATTCTGCTCGGTCGCCGGCGCGGCCGTGTTTTCGCTCGCTCGCCGTGCGAAACGGTGACCGCGCCGATTCTGCTCGCTCGCTGCCGCCGCCGTGTTTTCGCTCGCTCGCAGTGCTAAATAGGTCACCGCGCCGATTCTGCTCGCTCGCTGCCGCCGCCGTGTTTTCGCTCGCTTGCGGTGCTGTGTTTTAGCCTTATCAGGGCGAGTAATGATGACGACGTCGACTAAAAATGATGACAACGACAACGAAAAACCTGACGTCGCCGGCTCCGAAAGAACGTGACGTCGCCGGCTGCGAAAAACGTGACCGCGCCGGCTGCGAAAAACGTGACCGCGCCGGCTGCGAAAAACGTGACCGCGCCGGCTGCGAAAAACGTGACCGGGCCGGCTGCGAGAAACGTGACTGCGCCGGCACTAGGGGGCTTCCGTATAATATCATGCTGCAACGCTGATCCGCTGCTGATTATGTATAGGAATATATCAAGAGCGTATTAAGAAGGTTAATATGCTTAATTTACGTTACATTACGTTCCTTTACGTCATCTTTTTAATACGCTCTTGAATATATATATATAGAAGGGAAGAGAGGCGGGAGAGTGAGCTGAGAGAAATAGTGAGGCAGAGAACGAGAGATACAGAGAAAGAGTGTAGAGAAAATTTGAGAGAAAGAGAGCGAGAGAGCGCGATGACAGGGTAGCGGGGATGCAATGAGGTAGAAGTAGAGGGAGAGAGAATTGGATCATGGAATGTTCCTTTTCAAAATTTGATCATCTAAATTCACTTAAAGTTTGAGGAAAATGGCTTGGCCATTCTAGGGTCATTGTGAAATGGAGGTAGGACGCGGTCTGGGAGAACGGGTGACATGTGCGCTCAGGATGTAGGGGTTTTGGGAGTAATATATAGAAGAGAGATTAGGGGTGATACTCCATTAGGAGTGTTCCCAACTTTAATGTCATTAATGGTCATAATAACACATATATATATATATATATATATATATATATATATATATGTGTGTGTGTGTGGTCCAGGTCATATATTAGTTTGTGGTGTCATGTCATTTATGTTAGGGTTAGGGTTAGGGTTAGGATTATCAATCATTAATCATTAATCATTAATGATATCAAAGTTGGGAACACTTCTAATGGAGCGTTAGCCGAGATTAGAGAGACAGGGGAGACAGAGAATGTAGGAGTGGTGAGTCTGGTTGTGGTCGTGGGAGTAAGCACACGTGCTTATACGCGCGTGTGCGCGTTTCTTTGGCTCTCTGTGCAAGATGTGACTACACTGTGTGCCAGTTATTAAAGTTTATTCAGTTTAATACACAAGTAAGAACTTTAATTCAACGTTACAATAAGATGGAGAGAACGCGAAAATAATGGGGCGCGAAAGGGAGAGATAGCGAGAGGTTCATGGGGAAATAAAGACATACATAGAGTGAGAGAATCAAAGCGAGACAGGCGAACAGAGAGTGGGCAAACAGAAAATATGTGACGGTCCCTCATATGTGTATATGTGTTCCGGCGTCACACATGTGAGTCCGAGCGTGAGAGGCAGATAGATATAGAAAGATGGACGGAGCGAGAAAGGAAGGGAGACATAGAGGGGAGAGACTTTAGTGGATTTCTTTGTTTTTAACTTTTAGATGTCAGAAGTCATCTCAGGTTTGATGAAAATTGCTTCGTAAACAGTAAGTAAGTTATTTATGGATCACTGCAAGGACAGAAATATGTTGGGCAAGAGCCAGTGCTGGTCTATTGAACAGATCCAGCTACAGCGACAGTTAAAGAACAGTGGCATGAAAAATGTAAGTAGATATGATATATATGCTGTATATGTGATAAAATGTGTGATTTCTTGAAAAAGATATGTATCTTGATGCATACAGAAAGATTACAGTAGGATTTTTTCGTTTGAAAATGTTAGACACCAGAAGTCACATCAGGTTTGATGAATATTGCTTGGCAACCAGTCATGAACTAATTCATAGGTCGCTGCAAGGCGGAAAATGTGTCGAGCAAGAGCCACAGCCAATAAATCACGGAGGGGAAGCATTTCCACATGATGAACATGTATCATTTGCAAGCAGTGATTGTGAGTATTTGATTTGTAAAAATGATAGGGTATAGTTACAAATTAGATAATTGTCTCTGCATTTACAGCTCTCATTCCACCTCTCTCTTTTCTCTCACCGATGTGAGTTATTGTCATGAGAAAATTAAAGGATTGTATACGAAATGCAAACATGCCAGCAAGTTCCCAGCTAACACATAACGTTCCCACAACGTTGCTGGAATGTTGTAGTTTGGTCGGGTCAGGAATAACGTTGCAGCAACGTTCTAGAAACGTACCATGCGAACGTTGGACTCGCACCTTCCCACAACGTTATGTAGTAACGTTTTAACAACGTTATTAGGACGTTGGATACGTATATGCTATTATACATATTTTTCTATTATAAATTGACATCTGTATTTATGAAATATACTATATCATATGTTAACTTATAACCTTAATTAATTACGTCATGTTATTTAAATGTTATTATCGTTATTTCTGCCACGTATAGTGCAACGTTCTCAGAACGTTGTAGGAACGTCCGTAAAATACATTCGTGTAGAGGCAGAGACCATGACGATTGTGTCCTATCAACATTGATAGTAAAACTGATTAAAATACTGGGATATTAATCACAAATGTCTTCTACCGTCGAGCTTTCTTTAATAATACACATCTGAATAATCAATTTATACAATATTGCTAAACAAATGTTAGAAAAATGTACAAACACAGTCTGATATTTATACACCATTTGTTTTCAACACAAGGACAGTGCTCTCTGGAAGAGCTTGATTTGAATTAGTAAACGGAATACATTCATGAAAGTGCTTCTAGGAAGATGCCTAAAGAAGGCTATTATAAGAGATAATCAAGACTAAATGGTTGCCTTCCTGACAGTATTACCTACATCATGTTGATCGGTAAGTCATTAGAGCTGCTGATTTTTGACATATGGAAATATGTAGCCTTAGGCTTATAAGTTATAGTTACAGTTAGCTCCAAGAAACGGCTAACGCTCCATTAGGAGTGTTCCCAACTTTAATATCATTAATGATTAATGATTAATGATTGATAATCCTAACCCTAACCCTAACCTAAATGACATTAAACCACAAATTAATATATGATCATGACCAT